AGGTAGGCTTGAAACACAAGAGTCAGGGTGGCTTCTGGGTAATACCACATGGCTAGGCCTCAGACTGACGAAGCCTCTTGGATGAGGGGCGAAACGTTTCTTTTTAACAAAAAAAACGAAGTCCAGATGACATGATTCAACCTTTTTTGTTGTTATATACCTGGATGACTGAGAAAACAAACTTTGATGTCAGGTTTTGTTCTTTATACCCAAATTTGAACAAGATCAGTTTTAGGAAGCAGGCTTCGGACATTAAAATGTAAAATGCCAAGACCAGCTCTCTCACTAAATTTTTCAGGAATATCAATATTATTCAGAGAGAGGCCTGGATTAAGTTGAACATTTCCTGATAGTAGAAGAAGAAGAATATAGTACTTCCTTTTCACATTAGAAATTGACTCCTTATCATTAAGGTTTGAAATTGCCAAATCTATAAGAGACATTTCTGTGTATAAAACTGCTTTGCAAGACGGATATACACATGAGATGAACAAGAGTTTGATGATTTAATCCCGGCCACCAGGAGGACATCCGTGATAGGGTCAAACTGTCAACAGAGAATGACCAGATTGAGGTCCCTGACCTGGAAAAATCCAAGGCTGGATGGGGGCATGACTATTTGTGCCTCATTTCTGTACTTCCAAAGTACTGACGCACTTGAAGCAAAAGAAAATAAAAGTACTTTAAAAAGAAACTTCATGATCGGGGTCTGTAGATAAATTGGCCAGTGGAGCAGTCAGGAGATCCAGAATCCAAAAATTTAAATTAAAAAAATTTAAGATTAAAATTATAAAATTATAACTTATAAAATAAAAATAATTGTTTTAAGCCACCATATGACAGTTGAAGGTTGATAGGATCTGATGGCCGGTGACTGGGATGTCTTGCGGCCTGCAGGTTTCAGCAGCCAGCGGGCTCAGGTTGCTCTCAGGCTGTGAACTTCAGCGATGACTGAGGAAGCTGTCGGCAGCAGTCTGGTGTGATCCCGCGGCACAGCGGGCTCCAGTGGCCCACAATTCAGATGGGATCCAGCAGCTAGCAACACGAGCAGGCTCCAACGATGAGCAACGACGCTGTCGGCCAGCAATCCAGTGGGATCCAAAGACACAGCGGGTTTGAGCGTCTAGCAGCTCAGATGGGACTCGGCAGCCAGCGGCCCGAACAGGCTCCGACAACCAACGGCTCCAGCAGCGGGCAGCCTGGCAAGGCTCCGTGGCCAATTTAAAGTTAACGGCCAGCAAGCTGCGACCCAGCAAATCACTGCCACAGAGCCGCCAGGCAACAGCAGCCTCCGATGGTTCAAGAGGCAGGAGCTCCGCACAGTCTCAAAATCCTCCGACAGCTGACAACCAGCAGGCAGCCTCCGACACAACTCCCAGAAAGGTCCAGTCCAACATCCAGGACCAACAGGTGGATCAAAATTTAAAATTAAATCACACCGGAGTAGGATAAAAATGTCACTGTGATAGCACCCGGTTTCAGCTCCTAAAATTCAATAAAAGCCCTTTAAACTATTAAAAACCAATCGAGACAGGTTGAAAAACAGATGCTGACAGACACTGACGTGCACTTGCGGCCATCTTGGATTTGTATAATTACAGTAATTGTTGGCCCTTCATCAGTTGTGTGTTGGGTTTTACTGACCCACTTGAACAATGAAGACGTCCTCTTGAGGTTTCACCACCTGGAGCTCCGGAAAAACCTCTGGAGCTCCTAAAACCACAGAAAGATAGCAGAGAGCAGAAAACACAGCAGTTAATTGAAAGTTGGAGTTATTACTAGTCAAGTTACTTTTATCAGACACATCATGTCTGATTTATTTTACAGAAAATAAGAGTTGTTAAAAAGTTAAAATGGTTTCCAGTTTTTGGAGCTGAATCTGATGATGACTCAGACAGATACAGTACACACCGTTTTTAACAGTCATCTGGATGCTGCGTGCAGTTGTGTAGTTCCTGCCATCTATAGTAATATCTGTTAGGCAGGTGTATTTCCCAGCATCCCTCTGTGAGACCGCCGGCAGCCACATGAAGCCATCAGCAGAGATGAACTCCTTATCCAGCTCCTCCAGGTTACAGTCCTTTATTCAAATACACAGAGGATATTTTCCTTTCCTTAGCATAACATATTTAAATTTGTCAATAAATTTAGTTACAAAAAGCTATACATCGAGGACAGACTGACAGTCATAACACTAAATAAAGCAAACAGTATTCATTTAAAAACTATTTGAACTCAACAAAGTCCATGCTCAATAATCCAGGTATACTTTCCAACAATTTTCAGTAAGGTCATCTGGACACTTTCTTTTTTTTTTTTTGGCGCTGAAACGTTTCACCTTCCATCCAGAAGACTTCATCAGTCTGAGGAATTTGAAGACATTTTAGTTAAACTTGCAGGAAATAACCAAACTAAATCTACAACTGATTAACTTTTGTATTAAATTCATCGTAAGATGACTGCCACAACTTATCAACTTAAAAAATTGTTATAACTCGGGCAATTTTACAGATCCTGAGCTAAGTCTAGGTGTTTTTGCAGCTTGGAGTCATCAACATAGCAACACGTTTTGGCCCTGAACCTTCCTCTTGTGTTCAACTGAGTTTGTTAAATGCTAAATGCTACTATTTAATAATAATGCTATTATTATTTGATAATACAAAACTTGACTGTGTGATGTAGTCAAGTTATTCAAAGTCAAATTACAAACATAAAAAAATGAATCATGATCATTAATCTCTAAAGAATAAAGCTGTTTGTACATTGCTACGGTGGCCCTAAGGTGTAAATGAACAACATCTGAAAAAAAAGAATTACATTAAGCCTAATAGGAAGTTTTTAAAAAAAAACTTTATTAACAACATAAAACCAAACAACAGAACAACATACAGTACATCCTGATGCATGCTCAATAATCCAGGTAGAAAAATCTAAAAAGGTTAAGTCAGGTCCTCTGGAGGCCTCTGTGTTCAACTATCCCCCTCTTAAGGACATCTGACAGAATCAGAGCTGCTCACACACAACCTGCTGCTCCTCTCCAAAAGAGGAATTTTATTAAGTGTTTACAAATGAGGGCAGCACGGTGGCGCAACTGGTAGAGCTGCTGTTTCTCAGCGAGCAGGTCCCTGGTTCAAATCCCGGTCCAGGTGCCTTTCTGGGTAGAGTTTGCATGTTCTCTCTGTGCATGCGTGGGTTTCCTCCGGGTACTCCGGTTTCCTCCCACAGACCAAAAACATGCATGTTAGACTGATTGGTAACTCTAAATTGTCTCTAGGTGTGAGTGAGAGAATGAATGGTTGTTTGTCTCGTTTGTCTCTATGTGTCCCTGTGATGGACTTGCGACCTGTCCAGGGTGTACCCCGCCCCTCACACAGTGATTGGGCACCAGTGACCCCCATGACCCAAAATGGAAGAAGTGGGTAAAAGATAATGGATGAATGGTTTACAAATATGAGTAAATGTTGATGCATAGCAACACGTTAAAATACACCAAAACGCAGGAAATGGCATCTCTGTTGTTCAAAATTTTCTGTGAGAGGATCCACGGACCCCCCCCGCCACGCACCCCCCACGCCCCACTCCGGCATCAGTCAGTTTACAAATTAAGCCCTGAGCACAGCTCTTAAAGAAACAAAATAAAAGTGTGCTTTCAGCTGCAAGAGGGACTAGCTTCAGTTTATCTTAAAAATATGAAAACTAACTATAAATAGTAGTTTATTAATAAAGAAGATGAACTGAAGCCAATCCCGAGTTGTCACCAAGTCTTTATGAGAACTTTTATACACATCCTTTTTCTTGGTTACACCTCAGACTACACACAGTATATATCAATATATATAAACTATATACATATATACTTTATAAAAGCAGCAGCATCACCATGCGAGCTTCACAGAGCTCAATACCTTCATCCATCGTATTCTCCTCACGAGACCCAGTCCAAAGAGCTCTGTCTGTTTACAAGGAAGCCCTCCCCTGATCCCCTCTGTGATGACGACATCCTCGCTTGGATCGGGACAGTCTTCATTGGACACCGAGACTCTAAACGTTCTCTTCAATAGTTCAGTTTCATCTCTACAGAAAACATAGCAGACAGCAGAAAATCTGACATTTTGTTGCAAAAATGTTTTTATAGTGTGAAGATTTTCATCATTTTCAGTTTGCTGCGACAGAAAACAAATTACAAGATGTAGTCAGGGAAGTACGATGATAAAATGTGTCTTAATGAGAGCAGTGGGAACATTTTTAATTGGCTTTTATGTTTGTGAATGTTTCTGTAAAGTGCCCTGAGACAACTTTGTTGTGATTTGGTGCTATATAAATAAACTGAATTGAAATGAATTTTTGACTTGTGTAAAAATGAATTGTTGAGATTCATCAAAACACAAAACTGTAATATGACCGATTTTGAAGCATGCAAATTTCTTGTGTTTTCAAATTTTTAACAGTAAATCTGATCATTTGATCATCTGTAGTGTTCGCTGAACAAAAGCTAAGAATGATGATGGAGTCACTTTGAGCTCTGAACTCTTTTCTGTTTTCTGTTTTTTCTTTTCTTTTCTTTTTTGTGAGCTTTGCACATTTCAAACAGTACGGTTCAGTTCAGACGTGGCATTAAACTCATTAAAACCTTTAAAATCATTAATATGATGTACTTGCATTTGAAATTTAGCTCAGATACAATACATAATTAACTGTGCTTAATAAAAGGATAAATAAGCAGAGAAACCTGCTGTTTCTCAAACCACTGATTCTTTCCTCCAGCCAAATTTATTAATAAATAAATTCACCTTTTGTCATTCTCTTACATGAGAATCATCTCTTGTCAAGGATTTACAATAGTTTTTACCTAATCCGACAGAAAAAATGGCTTTATGGCAGATCAGATGTTGTCAACATCATGAGGGCAAAAAGTGACCCTCAGACAGTTTCCAGCTGGTCACCAATATATTTAATTGAAAAGAAAACAACTCTTAATTAATACCAAAGTTTGTGTTCAATAATCCAGGTAAAAATTCAACAAAGTTCAGTCAGATCCTCTGGACGGTTTCTTTTTTGCTGAGATGTTTCGTCCTTCATCCAAAGGACTTATTCAATCTGAAACTTCTCAATTAAGTTAATGAAAAATTGTATTTTATTACGGAAACTTTAAAAAAGTCTAAATTAAGCACCTTGGACAAAGGGATTAGACAGAATAAACTTTTCCTTAAGTTGTGTTTTCAGAACTAGACTGAATTTTAAAATCTTCAAACTCTTTGATTTGTTGGACGTTTTCTATTTTCAAGACATTTTGATTTGAGTTTTCTATCTTGGATTTTTATTTTCTTTAGTCTACCTGTGTGCTCCCCTTTCACAACTTTGCTGTTTTGCTGGTAATCAGTCCAGACTTTAGACACAGTTGACTGGGACAGCGTCTTTACAAAATTCTGTTATGATTTACCTTCTTGAAGAAGTTTTGTTTTTTGTTAATCAATCTCCGTTCTTTCAACTGATCTCCAGTGTTGGGGCCGTGATTCATGTCACCTTTGTGCAAGAGCTCTCCACGGTCTGAGCACTCTTTTTAACTGAAGACTAATTCGCAGGGTTTTCTGATGCAGGTGTTTTGTTTTAAAAAGCAATTCCATATTTGTTTCTCTACTTATTCTAAAAATTAAAAAAACACTTATGACTGACTACAGCAATTATATTATCCATCCAAAAGGATGGCCCAGCACAGAAGATCAACATCATCAGGCCAGGACTCTGAGGTCTACACTCATCTCCAGGCCAGCGGTCACTCTTTCAAGGATGAAGATGTTCACATCCTGGACAGAGAGGAACGATGGTTTGAGAGAGGAGTAAAGGAGGCCATCTTTGTGAAAAGAAATCGTCCATCATTAAACAGGGGTGGAGGCCTCCGGGTTCAACTGTCCCCCTCTTACAATGCTGTGATTGCTAGTATCACTCAGCCCTCTGTGAGTAGTAAACAGCCATCAGTGTGCTAATGATCCATTGTTAGGCTGATGGTCCTTCTTGAGCATGTGATCAGCTGGTTTTGGTTGTCAGCAGCAAAACTGGTTGATCCATCTGAGAAGGTGCTATTTAAGAGACTGAGCTGAAAACAGCACCTCAGACTGAGGAAGTCTTTCGGATGAAAGATGAAACGTATCTACATATTTTTTTTTGCTTTGTTTTGTTTTTTGTTTTTTTGAATGTCCAGAGGACCAGATTGAACTTTTTTAGATTTTTCTACCTGGATTATTGAGCATGCATCAGGATATATTATCCATCCATACATCCATCATCTTTACTCACTGCTTCTTATTATTGGGGTTGTGTGTGTGTGTGGGTGTTTGTGTGTGGAGTACTCAC